TGGACATACGAGGAGCCAGTGTAAGAAGAATACTACCAATAGGTCAGTTTCGGGAAACCAGTAGTGGTTGGTGCTGAGGGACGCCCACCAACCCCCATTGTAAAAGTCTCAACAGCTAAGGGTAAAATGGCAATCTCATATAGTGTCTACGTGATAGGAAAGCTGGATGGCCAAAGGTGCAACTTTGTCATAGATTCTGCATCTCAGCAAACCCCTGTGGGTATCAAGGTGCTGGATCACAAAGGAGTACCAGAAGCTGTACAGAAGCTCCGTGGTGCGACAGGACAGGACATTATGCAAGGCTGAGGGGACCAGTATGAGTAACTATTGAGCTCATGAGCTCATGGGCATGAAGAACAGACAGAAAGTATACTTGGCTGACATTGAAGACCAATGCATATTAGGATCGGACTACTTACTACTGAGGAAGTGTGTAGTTAATTTTGATAAAATGACGTTTGGGAACAACAAAGGCCAAATTCCAGTAAGTGTTAAAAGAGAGGTTGAACTAACCAGGTGTCATCAAGCTGAAGTCAAAGTGACCGAAGGAGTTGATGGTGGTGGAGTGGATCCAAGTATAGATATTAAATCAGAGCAGGAGAAAGACCAAGATTTGAAGCCAATAATGGATTTTCTAAAATCAAGTGTTTTGCGCCCTGCTTGGGAGAAGGTGTCTAGCTTAAGCCCTGTTACAAAGAACTATTGGGCACAATGGGACCAGTTGAGGCTTGAAGATTGTATTCTTCTCCGGAGATGGGAAAGTGATGACCATGCAAACTGTTATACCGAGAAAGTTACGGAAAGTTGTGCTGCGTCAATCCCATAATAGTTTAACAGGAGGACATCTCGGAGTTAAGAAGACATTGAATCACCTACAACAGAAATTTTACTGGATAGGTGTGAGGTAAGATGTGGAAGAATGGTGCAGGACATGCAGTACATGTTGTGCTAAAAGGGGACCCAAGCATAAGGGACGTGTTCCAATGAAGTTATATCAAGTTGGCACACCAATGGAAAGAGTGGTCGTTGACATTGCTGGTCCTTTTCTCCAAACTCGTGCTGGAAACAGGTACATTTGTGTGGGGATGGATTATTTCACCAAGTGGCCTGAGGCATATGCAATACCAAATCAGGAAACTATTATTTGTAGAGTTCAGCTTCAACTCCAAAATATGATCTACACATAAAACATATATAATGCACACACTGTACTATCCAAAGTTTTGGGACAGCAAACTTTGCTAAAGGGGTGTCATGGATGATTTCCATTTTCATAGGATGTACATCAACATTTGGCGTTAATCACAATCTACACGCTGCTACTAACACCTGCATCCAGCCGTTCTTTAAATCCTAGGTGCATTATAAAAAACAACTACATCTCATTATTCAATCTGACAAAAGTAGCCCAAAAGTTGACGATATGTGGTGTTGATTAGCTTTCTTCCCTCTGGTCTATCACTTCAAAATAAGGACGGCTAGCGCAGATAGACCTTGTGTAACTTTATGGGGAATTCAACAAAATAAACAAACAAACTCGATCCATCAATATAGGCAGTGCAGCATTGTCCAGAACGCCAAAACATAAGAAGATATTCACTGTTATCATTGGAACAGATACACGTCATTAGAGCCATGCCCACATTTTAAAACCCCGCCACTCTTCGGGGGTTGCCATCAAACGAATTTCGCCATTCTGAAGCCAGCAATGAGTATGTGAGCTTATGATGGATCTCAGATATTATTGATCTCAACGTCCACGTTTGAGGCACCGTAAGATCCGACTCCTTACATTCATGGCTGTGATGAGTAGGGCACACAGAGTCACAGTCTGAAATAGGTAGTCTTTATAGTTTTCAAGTGTCATTGAAGTCCTAACTGATGTATTTAATTCTAAATGTTTAGTTGGTTTTTGTTGTTGTTGTTTTTTGTTTTTTTTGTTAGAATTCGTTTTAAAGATCGAATAGAACGAGAAGTGATTATTTTGGGTGACCAGTCTGATTTTATACATTAATCCATCTAGTTGTCTTAATTTCCTCAACAAATTACTCATGATGGGTTTTGGTATGAGTAGAATGACTGAAATATCTCAGTTATTCAGACTACCCTTGCTGTATCAAATACCCATTAGTCTATAGAAACACACGAACTATTTTCCTTCTGCCATCTTGGTTCCACCTGGACCTTCATTAACCATTCACAGCAGCGCACAATGGGATTAACACTGAAACCCATGAGGACCCGTCCACTACTAACTGAGGATACGCTGACCTGGTAGATTTGTATAAAAAGTTTATTCACAATACTTGTAACATTCCTACTCATTTACAGAGAATGAACATGAGAAAATCCGTTGTGATGAAAAATATTTCGGTTACCTTTTCCTCATTTTTAAAAATACTGTTTAAAAATTTCCATCACACTGTAGTTGAATTACTGAAAAACATATTACATTCATTAAAAGAGTGTAACAGATAATGAAAATACAGAAATAATGTTTCTAGAAAGTAAATATGAACGCAAGTAATGAAAAAACTGTATCATAACGACCGTTTGCACGTATAAATCAATATGTTTCTTACAAAACCAAAACGTTAGAAGTAGTAGTGAATCTGAACCGTTTTATATTATCAAACAATAAGTTTTGTAGCAGTGGCTCTGCTATTGAGTTTATCGTTGTTTTCTCACCTTGCGTAATTCTCCTTTGATGGTGTCAAGTTGCTGGGTTACTCGAGACTCTGAACGATCCAATGATAAAATAACTTCTTTTCGGTTCTGTTCAATTCGGTTTAACACTTGTCGAATTTCTTGTCTTTGTGTGGAACCTTGTAGCTGATCAGTCTCCAAAGTAGAGAGACGTTGAAGTATTTGTTGTAAAACAGAACTAACCGAAGGTTCTGAAAGAACGAGCATGTGTGAAAAGAACTGCATAGTAAAAATTGAGATTATAGAGTATGAAGAGGTGGAAAATATTATTCTTTTTATCAAAGTATCAACGAAAATATTGAAATCAAAAATATATATACAAATTTCAAATTCTTGAAAGTTAACTAGTGTGAAAAGATATTAAAGTACATTCTGTAAAGTAGCACTAATTAAATTATATAAATGAAAGAACTGGTGTAAAATATGCTACACATTAAACTACGTAACACGGGATTTCATATTCAGTTTTCAGTGCTTTGAATCATTTGGTATATGAAGGTAAAATCTGAAGGCTCTCAATAAACGAATAACTATTGTATGGATAAAAATTATGTTGCAAGACAACCTAAAAATGCTGTAAACGTCATAAAACAGATACTAAACTGTAGATTGGTGAATTTAAACTTCAGTATGAATTGAATTAAATTATTTATTACTAAAAAGAACAAACATGAATGAGCTGAATAAACGATGGGAAAAAAAACCAAATACATGATGAACTAAAGACAGTTGATATTGTATAGTCTAAAAGGCTTGGTAAAGATTGTTTTTCCTTGATAATTTTTAGCAAAGAGAGACGATCATCTTCGCTCCATCGTTTAACGAAAACTCAGAAAATAGCCAGATAGTTAAAGTACACGCCCGAGTTCTCAAAAATAGACAACATCAACTGTCTTCAAAAAATGATGAACCACAGATCATGGCAACAGAAATACAAATATCCTTATAACAGGATACACCAAGAACTGATGGAATGACAGAGAAGTAATCATTTAGTTCTCTACATAACAATAAAAAAGGTTGTGTTTGAATGATAGGGAAAAAAGCATCCAAATAAGTTAGTCCTCTACATAAGAAGCTGGGAATGAACAATTGTTGTCTTGTCAAACTATGAATCCGGGAGTCCATGGTTTCCATCCCATTACCACAAAATTGTGCCCAACACTATGGGGCAGTGGGTGTGTTATAATAGTGATGGTCAAATCCCACTATTTTATTAGGGATGACTATCACGGATAACACTTTGTAGGTTTGCGCGAATATCCGAAACAAACAAACTCTATATAGGATCACAAAAGGTTATATTGAAGTGACAGAGAATTGAATGTCAAGGTAAAGCACTTCACAAACAGGATAATAACCTCTCTAGTGAAATATATCAAATATTAAAAGCTTTTCAATCAATACTTACGAAGGATCATGATGTATCCTGAAAAGAGGACATAAAAATCAAACAAATACGGCATTGTAGCTTGTAAAAAAAATTGACACATGTGTGTGTGTGCGTGTGTCCGGGTGGGTGAACGGTAAGTTTACGGACTTACAACACTAAATGGTGGACAGAGTGCAGATATCCCACTGTGTAGCTTTGTTCTAAAAACATAACAACAAATTCATAATATGCTGAAAAAAAATAATATATTTCAACTATTGCTATTCCAACTAAATGTAATTTATAATTCTTCTTAGAAACTGGATCTTATCCTGTGATATATTTTTTTCTCATTGCAGAAGAACATATCTTTTATATATATAATTTTTAAATATTGGTTTCTATCTTGTTGGTGAACTTACTGCAGCAGGACATCACTTATAATTCTTCTTATAGACTGGTTCTTATATCTTTGATTAATCATATTTCTCTTATTACAGCTAAACATAGTTTATAATTCTTATAATACACTGGTTTTTAACTCTTTTAATAATATTCTATTATTACAGCAGAATATGGTGTAATATCCTTCTTATATGCTGGTTCTCCATTAGATAATTTTCTATCATTGCACAGGACATAATTTGTAATTCAAATTAGAGACAGGTTCTTATTTCTGATTAACTCTCTCTCATTTCAACAGTACATAGTTTATAATCCTCCTAGTTATAGTTTATAGCTCTGTATCCCCCCTCGTAAAGTTGAGGGCTTATAACGCTAAAAATCGGATTTCGATGCCAGTAGGGCACAGCACAGGTAGTCCATTATCTAGCTTTGTGCTTAACAACAAATAAACTAGCTCTCTAGTGAAAAATTTATATATACCACCTTTAATTGTAGAAGTAACACTAGTCTTAAACATTAGCTGAAACCTAAGCCACAAATATACATTTGTTTGTGATAAGTAACTATAATTTAATTTCTTCATAACAAATAAATATATTACTAGAATTTCTTTCAGTTACTGTCGTAGAAGTAGGAAAAATAATTATTTCTCTCTCTATATATATATTACCTCTATTATAACTGTGACGTCTTTCACTTTGAGTTGAAGTTGTTGTTTCAGTACTTGCGTTGCATGTAGTGAAAGATCCAATAATAATTATACCTGCAAAAACTATTATATTAAATCTCATTATGAAATTATAAAAGTCCACACGGCAGTCATTCAACATTGTATTTTATAAACGTGAATCAAATATTTAAAATTACTAAATCACTTTACAGGATTCTGTCCACTTAGAAGCCGAAGTAAGTTACAGAAAGAAACTTTATAGTCCTAGGAAGGACGTTCCGTATCAAGCAAGTGTATACTTTTTGGTTGTTTATAGATTTTGCCAGATTAACAGCCCTAGACCAGACAGATCACGTCCTCGTGCAGTTGTTGACTGTTAGTGTTTGGGTACGAAGGTGAGGAAGGAGATCCTATTATCAGATTACATACATACCAAATGTTGTGATAAGAAAACTGGGTGTGTGTTGTTTTTTTTGGGGGGGGGTGTCATTATGCTAACGAACGAACTACATATGTACATTGAATTCTAAACAGAAAATGATAACAACTAAAACAACTTGTATTCTTGTATATTCTTGTAGATTGTTTCAATAACTTATAACGACTCAGCTGGGATAGATTAGTGACAATCTAGCAAAATCAGTTATGTGTTTAGTGAGCAACTTTTATAACAAAATATAAGGAGGTGGCCACTAAAAACATCTAACAGTCGCCTGTAAATTTGTAATAATGAAGGCATTCATTAGGTCATAAATCAACTACATTAAATCGAAAAGGCGATACCCGTAAGAACATTAATTGCATTTTATCCACACGTTGATAAGTATGATTATAACAATAACCACAATATACTGATGAGTGTGGCGTAGTGGTTAACATGCTGGACTATAGAACCGAAGGTATACAGTTCGTGTCCAGTTACCGCTAAATCTTATTCAGCCCTTTGAGTGGTGGGTGCGTTAAAAGAGTGACAATTAAATCTCATTATTTGGTTATACAGAGGGTTGGGCACGTTCTATTAAATTTATTTTAGAGCCTTACTCTGTCATTGCAGTTCACGTCGCAACGTCCGGTCCTGCTCTATCTAACGACCGTGCATCTTGAAAATAGCCCTGCGGCATAAGTTCCGTTGTAAATAGGTATGTCACAATTCGATGACGAGGAACCCACTTTGAGACTAATAATGGCTGGAGACGGCTTGAATGGGTAATGAAGAAAAACTTTAATATAAGTTTAACATAACAGCAAATGTACAACTTGTACCTGATGATG